GTCCCGGTCCAGAAAAGGTCGCAATTGGTGAATCAGGCGAACCTGATAAAACGCCCCCCTGGTCACGGCCGACAAATGGTCATCCAATGTCAGCCGTGGATCCAGGAGGACTCCCAAGTTGCACGCCCTCTCTGAGGGGGCCAAAATTTCGGCCCCCACTCCTAGCACCTGTTAACCTTTTTTGAGCTCCTTTCAAATACAGGGTGAGTGCTCTTCTAGAAGTGCACTAAACCTGTCTTCAGGCTCCTTTTCAATACCTGCCAGCTGTTATTAAATTATTTTAAACACAATTTTAGTAATCTTCTGAAAGAGTATTAAACTTGTGTTCAAAAGGAGCCCATGTTACATAGTATGCTGGGAATTTCCTCATTCTCCAATATGCAGCAACTGGCCACCCACCCATCTTTATGCACCTGTCACCTTTTAGTCAGGCTGGTCCCTCTTTCCAAATCAGTTCTCCAAGATGGGCATTTTTTTGGAGGCCTGGCAAGTGTGGGGTAGGAGGAAATCAAATTTGAATGGCCTGGAAGGGCAATGACCAGAGACTGAAGAGGAAAATGCTTATCTGTATCAACCTATGGTGGCCAACATTTGTTGGTTGAATATTGACTGAATGGTTGATGAAGTATGCCAGATTGTACCCATAATAAAACTTCCATAATTTCTTCCCGATTTAAATGGCAAACTATCTTTAAATATTTAACTATTTTAAAGCTGACTTAAGGCTGATTCAAGTATGGATTGGGGGTGAGATGAAGACAATACCGTGTTTCCCTGAAAATAAGACCCAGTCTTATATTTGTTTCCTCCAAAAGAGGCACTAGATCAGGGGTGTCCAAACTTTTTTCAAAGAGGGCCAGATTGGATGAAGTGAACGTGCTGGAGGGCCGAACATTTTTCCGAACATTCTTTCAACCATTACAATTAAATGCAAATGAATTATTTTATGCCTCTTTCCTCTCCCTCTCTTTCCTCTTTCTCTCTCTCTCTTTCCTTTCCCTTTCCTCTCCCCTCTCTCT